GCTTTTGTTTGTCGTTTTTATAAGATGCTGAACAAGTTCGAAAGTGCTTTCCAGTGAAATCCAACAGAATTCATTCCGAATCGAACTTAACGTCCCCGTCAGTTTATGAGTGCAGGAGCAGCACATAGAAGTTGTAGCGGGTTGTTGGTTTTATGAATCTTGGGTAATCCATATCAATTCAGAGGTTTAGCTCGCAAGGATTTCAATGAATTGAATCCCTCCTTACTAATAAAATTCATTTTCAAGAGTTCCATTAAGTTTAAGGTTAGTTTTACTTTACATGTTTTAACCTCTCCGAATGAGACATCATCAGTGAGAATGGATGACACTTAGCCTTATAGTCACATGTATTTGTCATAACTACACCAGATCGCTCATCTAGTTTGAGGATGATTATGTGAGACCTACTTCATAATTCTTTTAGAAATTCGACTTGATTTTCGGACGCAGTTAGGAGAGGACTGAACTCATCATAAGGATTATCAAACTTAGCATCGGTATCATGTGTGACAGTGAAAAATTTCATCCAAGAATATGTGCTTCTTTCTCATCAATTGAAAGGACAAATGAATCTCATTTTCTCTGGATCAACTAGAATTGTTTGCGTAAATGTTATTAGTACAAGTTTTGGAGAAATTCCCTCTTCTTTTTGTTTGCTTATGACAACAGGAAAAGTTGAATTTAATGTAGTAGGTAAGACAGATTATCCAACAATATCCGTGTAGCATGAACATGCATTTCAACTAATTCGCGTAGCTTTCCCCTGAAATTGCCCACCTGAGATTTTGTGGACAGAAGAAGATTTGAACATTCATCATAAGGAAACAGTGTTATGCAGCCAAGCTTAGCAACACAAACCTAAACACTGCATGAGCGATTATGTCACATCCCGTTGTACTAACTGGTTTACATGTATGTGTGGACACATACATAAGGGAGAGTAATCGAGTCATGAATTTAACGGTGGCAGGATATGTACTCAAGTGGCTTCGCAAACAACCTGTGTGGAACTTTGTATCCAGTGTCCAAATACGATCCCATCATCGAATTTCAAAAAATCTTGAATATCCATAAAAAGATTTTTGTTTAGTATCACAATTCATACATCGTTTGCGTTATCTACCTAAAGCTCCTGGTTAATGTGTTTTATTTTCACATGAGTTAGTTGTGACGTTTTCAAGGACTGGAAATACGGTGGTTTTCCAGTAGGTAAATACCCGTCTATGCTGTTGTTTCTTCGTTTAATAGATTTTCGGAATTCGAAGAGCTTTTCAGATCCAACAGATAGAAACCGACTGGATTCTTCTACATTTTCATCAATGCGAATTTGGGAAGGTTTTAATAAGTTGCACATCTGTTCTGCTAGTTGATGAGATGTTTCAAAACACAAGCCATAACTGTTTCCCTTCATTAATTCATCGAGTGTTGGATAACCGAGCGCCAATACAGGTACGTTGACACCGAACAAATCAACCACCTACAACATGAACAACCGGAAGGAAATATAGACAAAGAACAGAGCTATACATTTGTTATTATTTGGAATATTAGATTAAGACTTTAATTTTCAGGGTTAGACTGCTATTTATTCTCAATCACCTGAGGTACCGTTTGAAAAAAGAAACTAGTTATCCATCCAAATCAACGTAGGACCAGGCACTATTCCGTAGTGGTCCGAGTTGCCACAGCTCATATCAGTACGTCCAGTGAAAAGGCAGTGAAGTGGAAGATGAAGAAAAGAAAATTCAGTCAGAAGAAATATAAAGTAACAAAAGAGAGGAAGGAAGAATGAGAAAACGGTGAGATTCGGCACAGCGTTGAGATGAGGATAACGTGTTTACACATCTGGGCCACTGACATCGGTTCTCAGCCATATCTCCTAGAGTCTTCAACCACTGGTTCCTCTTGTCCTGCAGACCCCAACCGGCTAGTCTGCATCGCCCCACATGGCTAAAACTAACAGCCAAAGACTTCATACATTGGTGCCATGTTTTAGTCTGGCCACCTCGGGTATTTTTCCAGCCTGGACTTACTTCGGCCAACATTGTGTGACTAGGCAGACGACGACTAGGCATACATAACACATGTCCCAACTATCTCAGTCGATGAAGGTTCACAACTGTATCAACTAACTTACCTCTTCTCCCCAAAACTCTACACCTGACTTCTGCGTTACTCACGTGGTGACACCACGGAATACGGCCTATACTACGAAGGCGACGGTAGTCAAACACTTGAAGCCTTCTCATGTCTCCCACCTTCAATGCCCATGTTTCACAGCCATATAGTAAAACAGAGTGGACTGCTGTGCAGTACGCGCGACCCTTCATAGATAGTCGGGTATCACGGCGGCGTAAGTTGGCGATAGCCAACCGAGCTTCTTGCACTCCTCCAGAGAATTCATCGGCTACTGACCCACAGGACTGATCCTACTTCCCGGGTAAGTGAAGTGGTCAACACTCTCAACCACTAAACACTCTATTGTTAGCCGAGGCAGTGTTGAAGACCAATCGTGGAGCGACAATTTACATTTGGGTGGTGAGAAACGCATCCCAAACATTCTCGAATTGCCACTCAAAGTGTTCAGAAGACTCTGCATCTTGTCAGCGTCTTCACCTAACAGGACTATGTCATCTGCATATTCTAGATCTAACGAAAATTCACCTGTGACTAGGTCAACGTCTGTGTAATCAGGTGACGAGAGGGAAACCTCCATAAGAATATCTATGATAAAATTAAATAAGAATGGGGAGAGTGGGGATCCTTGACGGACACCACTTGATGAGTATAGCTTCCCGGACAACTCACCATAGGCTCTAACATGCCCACAAGTGTTCGAGTAGAGAGCTTTCAATAAGGTGATGTACTTACTAGGCACGCCTTTCAGTGACAGACATGCCATAAGACTTCTCGATCAACGGAGTCAAATGCCGCCTTCAGGTCGAGAAATACAGCTATTGTCGGGCGTCTGTAAGCATGCCTATGTTCCAGGACCTGGCGCAGTGTGAATATTTGGTCGATACATCCACGGCCAGGTCTAAAGCCTGCCTGGTTTTCTCGGGCTTGCTGTTCCCGAGCTCCACTCAGGCGTCGGAGAATTATAGAACTTAGGATCTTAGACACTATGTTTGTCAGGCTGATTCCTCTGTGGTTATCACAAGAGGACTTCTCGCCTTTCTTGAAGACTGGGATGATGAGTGACTTAGACCAGTCGGAGGGGATCGTATTTGATTCCCATATACTGGCTAACACTTCCGTTAGCCTGACTAAGAGAACTCTACCACCATTCTTGTATACCTCAGCAGGTAGTCCGTCTGGTCCTGCTGCCCTTCCCGTTTCAGGCTACCTACCGCTTTCTCAACTTCTTCTAGTGTTGGGGGCCTGTCTCTATGTCCCATTCAGGGTCCGACTGGATAGCGGGCAGCGCAATGGTGGCTGGAGGCCAGTTAAACTGTTCCTCAAAGTGTTCTGCCCATCGTTCCAGTCGTCTTCCCTGCGAGTGAATCGCAGATCCGTCCTTCTCCGCTATAACCTCACTAACTGTTGTTGACCATTTCCCCCCAGTCTCCTTAATAAGTCTAAATAACTGTCTACAGTTACCAATGGCCGCCGCCTTTCTCATCTCTTCAGCCTTCACTGCCCACCACTGTTCGCAGTCGTTGCGTAGACTTTTCCTCAGTCTACTTTTAAGTTGTGCTCCCTCTTCATTGTACTTAGAGCCCGCAGGAATGCGTTCATGTGCATCCATCAGTTTAGAAGAAGCTGCTGATATCCACTGGCTCTTTTTAGCCACTCTTTCGGAGTCGGTTACAGTCAAATTTTTTCTACGTCCATTGAGACGCAGGCATATACGTTCTCGGACCAACGCATGATCGCTGTCCAAACACGTACTCCAGAAGGAGCGGCAGTTTTCCACCGATGACCCATAACGATGTGGTCCATCGCTGAGTTGAGCTCGGTGGACGTCACGTCAGACAGTGTCTTTTCTTATGTCTGAAATTGGTGCTGGCTAAAAATAAGCGGTTATCGGAGGACAGTTGTAGTAAGTGATTATCATTATCTGTTCGTCCAGCCACGATTCCGAAAGTACCACCTAAGTGCCTTTCTGCCTCACTCAGTCTACCCGTCTGTGCATTGAAATCACCTACAACAACCACCATGTCTGAGCGTTTGGCTTTCGAAAGGAGGCTAGACAGTTTTCGGTAGAACTCGTCCTTCACTTCATTTGAACTGCAGTCAGTGGGTGCATAAGCACAGATTATAAAGAGACAACGACGAGTTTCACTGTTTCTTTTAAATCTCACTGCGCCGTTCAGCCAGACAGCGCAAAGGTGACTATCAATTGAGACGAAGTCTACTAATTAGCCCTAGTACTTAATACTATACCTACACTTGCAAGATCGAATATCTAGAAACTCGAAGGGTGGATTTCATGGATTGGCTGAGTGAGGTTGGGTGGATAACCTCACTTGGGTCCTGTATGCGTGTCTCACAAACACGGCACACATCCATGACCCAAGTTGCTAGAATCCTTACTAATGAAGCTTGTTAACCAATTTGACGGAGGGTGCGGACATTGAAGGCTCCAATATGTAATTTGGAGCGTGGTTTAAGGAGACCATGGATGCTGTTCTGTGGATCCAGATCGTTTTCAAAGGCTGTAGAGCTAAGGAAAATTGAACGTGATGTAGTATCGTTAATTGAGAGACGTGAAGGAAGATTAGAAGGTAATGATGAGGGAGGTGGACAGCAGTCTGAATAAACTTGAGTGATGACAGGGTTGTGAGGGCGTTTGACACTTCCCGGCTGCCCACACCGTGGAAGGCTATTTCTTCTTGAAGTATCTGGAAGAGATTTGTGTGACCACAGAGCCCATTGGACATCTGCTTGAGGCCTGTCACGTGTAGGCTTTTGTGTTTGGTTGTTTCGAGCTTTTGTTGTTTTGCGGCCGGATGATCGAAAAGAAAAGACAAATGAACCTGGTGGACCGCGGGGCGTGGTCGAGTGTGTTATTTTTGCGGCCGACCTTTTCTAACCCCACCTTCAACTAAGAAGGCAGCATTAGCATGGCACTGCTGGTCATCCAAGGGAAACACCTTACTGCTGTGACACCCCATCCAGCTAGCAGCAGTACGACTTCGCCCTCAGACTCCCACCATAGTGTAGTGATTTACGCTACAACGGTAACTGCTTTTTGTCTAACCACTATCCAACAAACCTTTCTGGTACGATAGGACCTCGAGGGAATAAGTGTTCCACCAGCATAGCTCGTTAAGTCATTGTGATGTGCAAGCGTGACCACCACGCCAAGGTAGCAGCTATCAGTCGGGAAAACTAGTTGTCGCACTGGGCGATTTGTCACCTGACCTACAAGCTGAAGAATTTCCTACCATCGTATCATTTCAGAGTATTTGACACACAAAAACCTGATATTTGTTACTAGTTTACAATTTGCTCATAATACATACGATTTATTCTGAAAAATAACGTGAACAACGATCTTAATCATATACCACATTTGGGCATGCACATATATGACTGTTCATACTCACTTTCATTGGCAAGTCTAGTCCCGAAGAACTTCGATGTATGCTTATTCCCAAATCAGCACAACCAAGGAAAATAGGATAATCTGACCATTCAAGCCATGGCATGATAACTTCTACATGCTTCCAGTTTTGTTCATGTACCAGCTTTGCGTAGTGACTTTTCAATGGACACGACCTGAAGAAGTAGAAAAACAGCAAGTAAAATCGTCACATTGGTTTACTTGAGTGAAAACATTTTGCATTGAAAAAATCTTGACAGAATTTTTAACTAACTATACAGTACTGCATCAATTTCAAACTATACTAATAAAATGCAGCAATAACTCAGTCATTATGTGCAACAGTTAGTCATTACTTCCAACCAATGTTGTTTAGAATATCTAGGAAATTCAACAGGCACTCTGTACCCAAGAGGACTTAAGTTAGTCATGATAAATAGACAAGGTAAAGCTTCAGAACTCGATGGTTAAATAAGAGAACAGTTATTTTTTTCGCAGTAAAAAGAAAGAGAAACAGTCTTACCGAAATGATTATAAACACAAAAGTGCTTTAATTATGTACTATAGATCAGAAGTCAAATGAGGAGTATTTTAATAATCTAGACTGAGTTTATAAGTAATGCAGTGCAGGTTTAGAAATACTATGTACAATGTCATTTTATCGATTTGCTTACTTGCAAAGTACAAAAACGACGTATGAATGAGTAAATCATTCAGTAGCAAAACTAGTCGTTTAATGTATAGCTGGGATACTGCTCTCAGACGGTTGTCTGCTATTACGGAAAACATCAGGAGTACAACTTAATAGTTTTCCGGACCGAAGTTTGACCTGAAACTACTGAGTAGACAGGGCCGTTGGTTGACAATTTGTAATAGAAATACATTTATACAATATCATTGAAGTACGAAGGTTGATTTTTTGCCTATCATCATCATCATTATCAACATAGGACCAGGCATTACTGCGTAACGGTCCGAGTTGCCACACCTCACGTCAGTTCATCAAGTAGAAAGGTAGTGAGGTGAAGGATGAAGATAAGTGAATGCAGTCAAAAGAAATATAAAGTACGAGAAGAAAGGAAAGAGGAGTGACAAAATAGTGAGATTCGGTATAGCGTTGTTAAGATGAGGATAATGTGTGTATACATCTGCGCCACTGACTTCGGTTCTGAGCCATATCACCTAGGGTCTCCAACCACTGGTTCCTCTTGTCCCGTGGACCCCAACCACCTAGTCTGCATCGTCCTACATGGCTTAAACCAACAGTCAGAGACTTCATACATTGGTGCCATGTTTTAGTCTGGCCACCTCGGGCCTTTTTCCAGCCTGGACCCACCTCAGCCAACATTGTGTGACGAGGCAATCGGTGACTAGGCATACGTAGTACGTGTCCCAACCATCTCAGTCGATGAAGGTTCACAACCTCGTCGACTGACTTACCTCTTCTCCCCAAAACTCTACACCTAACTTCTGCATTACTCACATGGTGACACCACGGAATACGTCCTATACTACGAAGGCAACGGTGGTCAAACACCTGAAACCTTTTTGTGTCTTCCACTTTCAATGGCCATGTTTCACAGCCATACAGTAGAACAGAGCGGACTGCTGTGCAGTACACGCGACCCTTAATAGACAAACGAATATCACGGCGGCGCCATAGGTGGCGCAAATTGGCAAAAGCCAATCGAGCCTTTTGTATCCGTGCAGAAATCTCATCGGCAACTAACCCACCGGGTTGATCCTACTTCCCAGGTAAGTGAAGTGGTCAACACACTCAACCACTTCACTCTCTATTGTTAACCGCGGTACCGCTGAAGACCAGTCCTGGAGCAAAAATTTGCATTTGGGTGGTGAAAATCGCATCCCAAACATTCTCAAATTCCCACTCAAAGTGTTCAGAAGACTCTGCATCTTGTCAGCGTCTTCACCTAACAGGACTATGTCATCTGCATATTCTAGATCTAAGGAAAATTCACCTGTGACCGGTCAACGTCTTTGTAATTAGGTGACGAGAGGGAAACCTCCATAAGAATATCTATGATAAAATTAAATAAGAATGGGGATAGTGGGCATCCTTGACGGACACCACTTGATGAGTATAGCTCCCTGGACAACTCACCATAGGCTCTAACATGCCCACAAGTGTTCGAGTAGAGAGCTTTCAATAAGGTGATGTACTTACTAGGCACGCCTTTCAGTGACAGACATGCCATAAGACTTCTCGATCAACGGAGTCAAATGCCGCCTTCAGGTCGAGAAATACAGCTATTGTCGGGCGTCTGTAAGCATGCCTATGTTCCAGGACCTGGCGCAGTGTGAATATTTGGTCGATACATCCACGGCCAGGTCTAAAGCCTGCCTGGTTTTCTCGGGCTTGCTGTTCCCGAGCTCCACTCAGGCGTCGGAGAATTATAGAACTTAGGATCTTAGACACTATGTTTGTCAGGCTGATTCCTCTGTGGTTATCACAAGAGGACTTCTCGCCTTTCTTGAAGACTGGGATGATGAGTGACTTAGACCAGTCGGAGGGGATCGTATTTGATTCCCATATACTGGCTAACACTTCCGTTAGCCTGACTAAGAGAACTCTACCACCATTCTTGTATACCTCAGCAGGTAGTCCGTCTGGTCCTGCTGCCCTTCCCGTTTCAGGCTACCTACCGCTTTCTCAACTTCTTCTAGTGTTGGGGGCCTGTCTCTATGTCCCATTCAGGGTCCGACTGGATAGCGGGCAGCGCAATGGTGGCTGGAGGCCAGTTAAACTGTTCCTCAAAGTGTTCTGCCCATCGTCCCAGTCGCCTTCCCTGCGAGTGAATCGCCGATCCGTCCTTCTCCGCTATAACCTCACTAACTGTTGTTGACCATTTCCCCCCAGTCTCCTTAATAAGTCTAAATAACTGTCTACTGTTACCGATCGCCGCTGCCTTTTCCATCTCTTTAGCCTTTGCTGCCCACCACTGTTCACGATCGTTGCGCAGACTTTTCGTCAGTTTATTTTTAAGTTGCGCTCGCTCTTCATTGTACTCAGAGCCTGCAGGGATGCATTCACGTGCATCCATTAGTTTGGAAGAAGCTGCTGATATCCACTGGCTCTTTTTAGCCACTCTTTCGGAGTCGGTTACAGTCAAATTTTTTCTACGTCCATTGAGACGCAGGCATATACGTTCTCGGACCAACGCATGATCGCTGTCCAAACACGTACTCCAGAAGGAGCGGCAGTTTTCCACCGATGACCCATAACGATGTGGTCCATCGCTGAGTTGAGCTCGGTGGACGTCACGTCAGACAGTGTCTTTTCTTATGTCTGAAATTGGTGCTGGCTAAAAATAAGCGGTTATCGGAGGACAGTTGTAGTAAGTGATTATCATTATCTGTTCGTCCAGCCACGATTCCGAAAGTACCACCTAAGTGCCTTTCTGCCTCACTCAGTCTACCCGTCTGTGCATTGAAATCACCTACAACAACCACCATGTCTGAGCGTTTGGCTTTCGAAAGGAGGCTAGACAGTTTTCGGTAGAACTCGTCCTTCACTTCATTTGAACTGCAGTCAGTGGGTGCATAAGCACAGATTATAAAGAGACAACGACGAGTTTCACTGTTTCTTTTAAATCTCACTGCGCCGTTCAGCCAGACAGCGCAAAGGTGACTATCAATTGAGACGAAGTCTACTAATTAGCCCTAGTACTTAATACTATACCTACACTTGCAAGATCGAATATCTAGAAACTCGAAGGGTGGATTTCATGGATTGGCTGAGTGAGGTTGGGTGGATAACCTCACTTGGGTCCTGTATGCGTGTCTCACAAACACGGCACACATCCATGACCCAAGTTGCTAGAATCCTTACTAATGAAGCTTGTTAACCAATTTGACGGAGGGTGCGGACATTGAAGGCTCCAATATGTAATTTGGAGCGTGGTTTAAGGAGACCATGGATGCTGTTCTGTGGATCCAGATCGTTTTCAAAGGCTGTAGAGCTAAGGAAAATTGAACGTGATGTAGTATCGTTAATTGAGAGACGTGAAGGAAGATTAGAAGGTAATGATGAGGGAGGTGGACAGCAGTCTGAATAAACTTGAGTGATGACAGGGTTGTGAGGGCGTTTGACACTTCCCGGCTGCCCACACCGTGGAAGGCTATTTCTTCTTGAAGTATCTGGAAGAGATTTGTGTGACCACAGAGCCCATTGGACATCTGCTTGAGGCCTGTCACGTGTAGGCTTTTGTGTTTGGTTGTTTCGAGCTTTTGTTGTTTTGCGGCCGGATGATCGAAAAGAAAAGACAAATGAACCTGGTGGACCGCGGGGCGTGGTCGAGTGTGTTATTTTTGCGGCCGACCTTTTCTAACCCCACCTTCAACTAAGAAGGCAGCATTAGCATGGCACTGCTGGTCATCCAAGGGAAACACCTTACTGCTGTGACACCCCATCCAGCTAGCAGCAGTACGACTTCGCCCTCAGACTCCCACCATAGTGTAGTGATTTACGCTACAACGGTAACTGCTTTTTGTCTAACCACTATCCAACAAACCTTTCTGGTACGATAGGACCTCGAGGGAATAAGTGTTCCACCAGCATAGCTCGTTAAGTCATTGTGATATGCAAGCCCGACCACGTCAAGGTAGCAGCTATCGCCTATCACCACTTCCAAATTACCCACCACCTTTTTAGATGAACAATTACGAAAGATATATAGTTCGTTGTTGATAATAAATAAGCTTTGTGTACCATGTTCGTAAAACTCCACTGAGGTGGAAACAGAATAAGATGAATTCACATTTTTGATATCCATACGGTTTATTGAGTGAGAGACAAACCAAGGGAGAGCCTTGAACATGCAAGTTTAAGTTGCAAACCTCTTTATAGAACTGAAGGAAATAAGTTGGAATTAGTTTGAGTTTGGATGGTGAAGAACTAGAATATATTTGCAAACGAACTGCATCTCAAAGTGTTGCAATGTCCCAGTTTTCTCTTCTTTGGTGTTACCATGGGTTTACTTTTCTCACAGTTTTTCTAACCACTAATCAACTAGAACAGCTGTTGATTTGCCTGTTGTAGATGTATTACATCATTTTCGTTGCATGCAGCTGCTGCTCACTGTCATTCAAAAAGGTTCTTAATCAGCTTACACTAAGGTTGTTTCGCACATCACACAGGTTACATCTGAAAAAATTCCCTATCACGAAGCTACCTTTTCCTCAGTGCTTTACCTTCATAATGAGCACAAAGAGGTTGCCCATCTGTGTATGTATTCACCGAAGGCCACATGCATGTTGGATTTATCACATAATCGGCTTCAGAAAGAGCAATAAACCTAAATCTGTCCTCCCCAACAATAGCTGAAATTAGTGCGCATTATTATTAAAGATATCTGGTTTAAAATGAAAAAGGTGGATTTGTAGGGAGTAAAACGTCTCGACCAGAAAAGTACAGATCATTCACTACGATATGCAAACTCACCTATCACACAGTACTTGATATAAAAGGCAATGCTCCAGATTAGTGTAATTGACTAAATAAGTCATGGATGTGATGCAAACTCGTAATATCATGATTACTAGTGTACGAAAAATCCCATCAAGTTATAAAAAATGGAGAGTAGTTCAGGGAAGACTTCATTTGCAAAGCTGTGCAATCACATTTATGTACAATTTTTTTGAGGAGAATGTTCAGTGTTTTACAATAACTCCTTTTCTTGCTCAGGAGATATGGTAACAATCAAGATGATTTATCCTTAGTTAAAGACAATAAAGGTTGCTAAGGTTAGTGAATATCAACCGTAGTTTAACAGAAGTTGGCGTTCCACTGCTAGCCACAACCAAATAAATTATGATAATAAAATACAGCTGGAAGCCATCGAATGTTGACTTTAGTCGAGCGTTCCCCATACTTGCCATAAAATAATCTGCTAGTAATAGGTCCAGTCGCGTTCCATTTTTTGTCTGTAGATCATGTTATTGAATGTTAATTACATATTGAGGATGAATCTCAGTTGTAGGTCTTCAAGTATGCAATAAGTATTCCAATATCCAGGCTTACCATCTCCAAATCTGCACGACAAGCGAATGGTTTCGTAAATGAACATCGGTGAAAAGTGATTCGACGTCAAGAAATAACGTAAGTTAGGAAGAAACGTAGAGATTCTTAATAAAGTCTACAAACTCGAAGGTATTATGGAGAGATTATGAGCACATTTGTTTCCTGACGGGTTTTAGATTTCAGTAAACCATTTTGCGACCGGCCGGTTGGGGAATACCGACATATTTAGAATCGAGGGAAGAAACAGGTCGACTTTATCTCTTTTTGGTAACCCGTTAAGTCATAGTATTATAGAACCTGTTAATCTCATTCATCCGTGAAGACCTTTGCTAAGCTGCTTTTCACCTAGTTCTGTTTGATATCGTTGGTAGGTCTTGAGAATATACAGTTACCTGAGAATAGATTCACCACTTTGTCGAGGTAAGTTTTCTGGTTCAAAAGAACTATATCTGTACCACTGTCAGGACGTGCTACTAGTCTTTGTTGCAACTCTCTATGCCGTTTCGTTAAAAGAAAATGAATCTTTGGATTTGTGTTAAGACACTGATGGGAGTGATTGATGATGATTTGAAGTGCTGGAATTCCTGGTCAGAAACTGGGACAAGATCACTAATGTGACTGTGAAACTGTGGAGTTTGTGGACAGTCTGACTGATACCGCAGATTTTTGAGCCCCTCTCCTTCTATTCTGTTCACTTCCTAAGTAAAATCAACTACTTTTTTATGCTTTTTGACGATTATATATTCTTCAGGCATTTTTATGCTGCGCAACTTCTAGTAAACTGATTTATATTCACCAACCCTAGCAACCTTTATTGTCTTTAACTAAAGATATATTATCATGACTGTTACCGTATTCTCTGAAATAAAGAAAAGAATTTGCTGTAAAATAGTGAACATCCTTAAGAAAAGTGCATATAATTGTGATTGTAAAGCTTTGCAAAATGAAATCACTGGAAAGAGATTCTTCGCTTAACCACCCTTCGTCTTGGATGAACATCTTTCCCTCGATGAGACAGTCTACTAATAATGCAAAACATCCTGCAGAATAGAGTGAAATGCATTACCTGTTACAGCAAACAAAATATCAGGTAGACCTGAGTCAAGTTGCCCTGCTGCATTATCGTAAATACTCAACGCATCAATAGCCAGCGTAAAATCATCATCAGGTGTCCAGCTACAACTGCTGACAACCAGTGCTGGTCGATCTGGGCGCCACCGTGGACCGCTGTTTTTGGAACTATTTGCAACACAGTTATCTCAGTAAGGCGTGAGAATCTACATGAACTTGTTTTATCTTTGAAAACTTCATATTGGTTGCTCAGTCTAAAAATAAAGTATACAAAATTTAGAAGGCAGTATAGGAATGCTTCTACTTTGCACTTGCTTGATAAAATAAGTATATTTGTTTTTGAGAAAAATCACCAAACAATTTCCCCCTTTAAAATAACAATTACGTTGCTTGACAGACAGACAAGCAAAATCAACGTAGAATCTCGCACAGAATTGCATCAGTTCAAGTCGCCACCCTTCACAGTAGCAAGCAAACAGAAAACGGGTAACAAATGAGTAACGTCAAAAAAGAGGTGTAAGGGAAGAAAACGAGTCGGAAAATCAAGGTTATTGAAAATGTTCAACCCATTGAAGATTTCAAGGAGTAAATACCTCCATACCATTGTGACCGGTTTTCAGCCATGTCACCAAAGGCTCTAACCATTGATCCCAATGGCCTTGGAGACCCCAGCCAAAGGGTTCATACCTCTCTAAAAAGATTCACAACAACAGTGGAAAACTTCACTGACTGGTTCCACGTACTACTCCGGTCACTATCATCCTTCTTTCAACCTATTTTGGCTAACACTGCACATCAAGGTAAGTTTTGGCTAGGGATGCACAACATATGTACGAGCTGCCTCAGTCATCTAAAGTCCACGACCTCATCGACGAACTCGTCTAGCACTCCTCGTGTGACTTTGACACTCCTCAATAATGGTAATATATTTGCTTTATTCCGAATCATAATTATGTTTACAGTACAGAATTCTCAGTTTGTGATATTATATCAGTTTACCCGTTGTACAACATTTCTTAAATACATATTAACAATTATGGTGTTCAGCAATACACAACAAATGATAACATGAGTTTCGAAATGTTCAATGACTTCAGAGTCATAATAACTGTTCACTATTGCAAAGCTGATTGATAAGACTAACATGATTTTCTTTATATAATACACAAGCTAAATAAGGTATAATTGAATTTTTCTACGTAGTTGTGTGTGTTTCGAGTTCAGAGTTTGCTTCCTGTTTTCCAAGAGGACAGACACGGAGAGAGGAGAGGATGCAGAGAATGCTTGTCATCAGATAAAGTATTTTTTAGCCAGCTGTCTACGGGAGTTCAGATGCCTATCCATAGCCGCATTTATCAGCACGGTTAGTGGTAGACCACTTACTCGACTAACAGCATTCAAAATCCTACGGAATAAAGTGTAGTCTTTTTCCCGGAGTCCAGGAAAGAATAAGGGTAAGCGATAAGTATGTACAGGCAAAAACAGGAATTAATGAAACGTAAGAGTAAAGGCTGAATTATGCCAGAGAGTCTGAGCTTCCATATGTAAAAGGATTTTCATGGAAATCGTAAGATACTAGGGACCAATAAAGAGAAAAAAGAAATGCTTACCCAAGATGGATTACGCGTGATACATTCTCTACAGAAGAACCACCTATAAGACAAGAGTTATGGGACTGAAGCAACCTACCTAGATAATGTTCACATCTTATTATTATTATTATTAGTCCCTTGGGTTCCTAGTG